TACTAAAATATAGTTCTGACCTGATTGCAACTGCGATTGTGTCGCAAGCGTTAGTCGCACGACAATCAGTGTTCACCGGACGAACTGAAACCGAACTATTATACGTAAATGGGATATAGCGTTTGTCTATTTATACACTCCCCTCTATAGGGGGACAAACGGGTTTGATAGACTTTTTTTAGAAATTTATCATTCGCCTTTTTAACAATTGTAATAAGTGTTGCCATATTTTAACATTCAAATTGTAATTTATAAAATTAAAATAACAATGACTGTGGGTTGGTCTCTTTTATTACTAGATTTAAAAGTTAGTATTTTTTAGGGATATTATAGTCCCTTCATTTTGCACGGGTCCAGGATCCATGTTATCTTTATACATGATATGACGTCCACCTAATCTTTCAGTTTAGGAAAAGAAAAGTTCAATGACCAGATTTTTAAGTACACTGCCTAACACGCTTATCACTTCTTTACTCTACTCTCTATACAAATGGCAAGAACAAATCTTAATCTTAAAGACAATATCTTTACTTCTGCCAAACGATGTTACATATATTGGCAGGACAATAGTCCTTATTTTAAAAGCCGCCTTGTCAGTTGTTGAAAACAAGTTGTAGATTTGAAACCTCATAAAGTGACACCTACACTAACTGCGTTATGTCCTAAAATCGTCAACAAACGTACGTAATTTGTAACAATACGTGTGTTACACAGCCGAGTCCGTCTATTAACGTCACCCCGAGCTCCCAGCGACGTCAATTGAGTGAATTCGCCTCTATTGAGCAGATTAGTGCGCCGAGGTTTCTACAATTACTCGAAGGGGACACGCGGGATGTAGGGACACTGATTGTTACTTAAAATTACGCAGAATTCTAACCGGAAAACTATTTAATGTAGCAAAAAAAGACTTTTTAACACTTATCAACTTTAAAAAAAGACATCGTTTAATTAAGTCTTAGATTTAATTTATAAATAATGTAATTTGACGATATGGAGAATACAATTGTAGCTTGCGTTTTTTTTTTAAATTATAATTTAGATACATTCTCAAGAAGTGCCAAAATTTGACTGCCAAAATACATTTAAAAGAGGTATTTTACCGACACAGATAATGTACCAAATTAAAATAATAACATCACAAAATTAACTAGATCATTCAAACACAAAGGAAAACTTGACCATTATTCTAGTCTATTTTTTAAATATATATAAATAATTGGTATTTTTAATCAGTTAAAATTGTAATATTTTGTCAAATCACTCTTATCAATGCGTCTTTAAAACATGATTAAATAGTGCGTGTAATGACGTCATTGTTCATACAAATATTTCACTAAGATAGCACTATAGTGTAGTACAAGGTTCAAACGTATACGACAGGTAGCCAAAAGTGATGACCAAAATTGAGATGTAACTGTGACTAATGATGTAATAACACTCGTAGGCGCTAATATCGTAATGGTGCTGTACTTCCCAATATAGTCGGGGAAAAATTGGAAGCTATATGAAATATCAGAGCAATGAGAGTGGTTTTCCTACTTCTTTATGTTATAAGGGGCAACCGAAGAGTTAGGTCACCTGATGGTAAGTAACTACCGCCGCCCAAGGATACCTGCAACTCTAGAGGGTCTTTAAATTCCACCAACATATTTTTTTTAAGAATGTGACTTTTTTCTCATATGTTACCATACTCTTTTCTGTGAATATCTTATCCCAAATACAATAAATACGATAAGTTCAACGTACCCATCAACAAATATTAGTGTAGAATAGGTAATTAAGACAGAAAAACCAAGTAGTAAGTACCAAATAGATGGTGATCATTGAATAAATTAGATACGTGTCACATTTCGCGCGTGAGTGCAAGAATGTACCATTTTGTGGATACCGAATGTTTGTTTTCAATGTTTGACCAGCGCATATTATTAATGAGACAGTTAATTCTTTGTTTGCGTATTTTGATGAGGTTTTACAAGAACATTTTGTGAGGAGAAATGGTATATTTGGAGAAGCAACAAGCTGAAGAAATAAGGATATCTATGATTTGTATATTATTATGATTCTAAATTGTTACAGTTAATAGGGCTTTGACCTAATTAATTGTAACTGATGGTATACACCCTATAATAATCCTCAATGAATACTTCATCCAATATTAAAATATTTTTGAAATCTAACTTACGATTCTAGACATAAGCGCGTTTAAATAAACAATAACAAATAGTCAGTAAACACTGGCCTAATAGATTATTTTATTAATCAGATATCCGGTATGCTCTATTCTATTTACTTCTACTTTTTTCTATTATCACTATTATCTATTTTTTCTATTATCACGTTGGAACCCTCAGGATTCAATTCTCGACCACAAACCAGCAAAACCTCTGACTTTTGTCTCTCTCTGTCATAGTCAGTCATGCTATTAGAAACTCCATAATTTTCAATATGTAAAAGGACTGATTGTTTTTCTTTTTTTTTTTGTTTTGGCAGGAATCATGTTTTGATGTATTTTCTACGCGTTGTATCTGGCTCGTGGCGAACCTGAGCCTAACCTATTATTTACGTATTATTTCTTTTCAATAACGTTTTAGTGATATTTTTAAATTGTCCCAACATAAAGATAAAAACGGCTTTGGTAAAAGATCTTTCGCATCCACGCGATCATGAGTTTCAATTTAATATACCTTTATAAAACAAAATAGACTCTATTAATAAAATCATTAATAAAGTTAAACTTACATTTATAAACTAAATTATGCTTAAAACGCGTTGATGTATGCTACCATAAATTAATTTAGTTAGTCATCGATATTGATTCAAGGTCTTACGAAGAAGATAAAAGCTGTATCTAGTATTCAACTCGAGTCATTGACCTGTGGGAGTCTGTTGATCGGTACATTATACCTAAATATACATCATTTTGTTATCTCAGAATTAGATTCGTTAATTACTACAATTTTGTTGTCAAAAGTGGAGTATATATCAAGATACCCGCATAACTCAGTAATTAGGTGTTGTGTTACCAAATTCTCATTAATGTACTTTTAATTTTTTGAGGATCTCTATGGTGCGACGTTTGCGTATTCAACTGTAAAGTCAGAAATTACGGGTTCAATTCTCGCTCAGTGTAAATATTCGTATGCGTGAATGTTGCTTTCTTACAGAGACAGACAGAGACATATCGCAGTCCCCGACGAACAAAATCGTAATAGGAAAGTAACAATTTTACAGGAGCAAATAAAAACTGAATATCTTGAATACTATCAAGACTAAAAAGAAGATTCTTTTATCAAAAATAAGGGAATATTTTTTTGCACTAGATTTTTACTAAATTTTTATCATAAATTTTCTTTATCGGTAAGAAAATTGTGAAAATGTCCATTACTGAAATAAGCTATGGAAAAAATTAACGCAAACTAACTTTACGATTGTGTTCGACTGTAATCACAAATCGGTGTTGCTGTAGTAATCGTTCATTATGATATTGTTCCATGGTAAATATGAATATACTTTATATTCGTAAAATGACATTGCAATCGTATTCGATGATATAACTGACTTTAATATTACGGTAAACATAAATTACATGCTTATTCGATGATCATTTTTAGGTGTTATAACCATTTCGGTACCTATGTATAAATTCTGATTCTGATTCTGTCATTTTTCCCTCGAACAATATGGTAATAGCCGCTTACTCTAAAATGTTGACTTTTGAGATTTTGTAATAGGTTTTTGCGTTATTGATCGTGTAAATTTTTCACTTATGTTATACGTTGAATAAAAACATAAAGATCATTATTGATTGGATAAATCCAAAAGTATTCATCGCCCGATCATAAAAAAAACTCAATGATTGTAATAGGGTGTGTAGATAACGAATATCTAATAAACCCGATTCTATCGTAATAGCGATTACCATAGTGTTCGTCGGGGACTGCGATATTTATGTAGATATTTACGAAAAGAAAATGTATCTAAGTATATTAATCCTTGTTCTAGATTACGAGTATAGTATAAGCCATTCTCAACTTGTTTGTTGAAAGCGCTTTGCAATGTCTCAGAAAATTGTTATTATAATTATTCCGCCAGAATACCTCTTGACAATTCTACCGTATATGTAGTAGTGTATAGTTGTAAGTAACTTGATGATAATGACCTACTATTTCTTTAGTTTTACTTTACAAACGTTCCTCAGATCTGAAACCTCCATTCTAAGTATTGCTAATCTTCATAATTACCGTTCAGTGACATTTAGCGATAATAACACTAAATCTACTAAATGACCTAAATTATGTAAACTGGTAACACTGTCACTTGTGTTTGAATTAGAACACTACTTATTTCAACAGTTCTTGTCGTAAGTTTTCATTCTAAAGTCAAATTTATTTAAAATTAGGTATCGTTTCATTACTTCTATATTCAGCAAATGTATGTTTACACGATACATATGCCAAAATAACATTTTTTACAATTTTTGTCTGTTTGTCTGTCTGTTCGTTCCGGGTAATCTCTGGAACGGCTGGACCGATTTCGACGGGACTTTCACTGGCAGATAGCTGATGACATAAGGAGTAACTTAGGCTACTTTTTTTAGACTAGCTTCGCCCCGCAGCGTTGCCCGCGGTTATAACAATAAACGGGGGTAACACCGCGGGTCTCAGCTAGTAAAACCTATAATCTTCAATGAATATTCCATTCATTAAAAAAAATATTTCAAATCTGACTGAGAGTTCTAGAGATAAGCGCGTTTAAACAAACAATAATAAAATCTCTTCAGTTTTTTAATTTAGTTCTAAGTATACTTATATTATAAAGAGGTAAAGTTTGTATGTTTCGGATAATCTCCGGTACTGCTGCTCCAATTTTGAAAATTATTTCACTACTAGAAAGGGATATTCCCGAGTGCTGTAGTACTTTTTACAGCGATAACCGACATAGATGCGGGCGGAGCCACGGTCAAAAGCTAGTTTAGAATATATAGCAAGTGTTCTACTCACCGCTTGCATGCAGTTTTCTTTCTTGTGAGTCATCAGCATCCATCGATGATTGTTTTTGAAAGAAACCCTTAAAATAACAAATAGTTCGTTTTAGTTATAATTAAACAAATCGATTTAACTTATAATACTATCATCACTACAATATTAATCTCAACAATAAACTTAGATACTTTTATAATGTCTATTTTCGTGTGATAAAATTTGTCGAATATGTTCTGATATCTATTTATGTGAAATCAAAATGTAATATAACACATTGTTCAACAAACTACTATTCACATAATTAACATAATCTTATTTAAATTCATATCTGATAGACTCATTTTGTGGTAAAAAAATAACAGATGAGGCTATTACGTGGAACAATACACACCTGCATCTGTAAATTGGCTAGATCCTCTAAATTTTTCCTCATAAGAAGGTTTTGTTGTTCAAACTCCGAGACACTGTTGGCAGCGCTCGAGGTCGCCGATTGTTCCTTATTAACAAAAAACACACTCTTATCATTCGTCAAATCTAAATTTACATTCTATTATAACCGCATACCGACTTTATAATACATGTGCAAATGTTCGGTTTATTGTCAATTTCAAAGAATTGTACGTAAGAATTCAAATACCATTGAATTGCCATCAACATAAAAAGAAAAACTCAAATTTATTTATGAGATTCGATTATTACGAAGACGCGGAATCATTTATGGTATGCTGTTTTTAAAAATCACAAAAAGTTGAGAACAAACAGCTACGTGATAAAGTTGATTTTATGATTCGACAAAAAATAACAATTGTAAGTTTAATTATTTACCTGTCCATCTGTGTCTCTTGACACGCTGAGATCAAGAGTTTGTTCTCCATCATCAGAGCCGCTACCATCTTCCTCCTGACCTTGAGATCGATTGAACAGTCTCATAGACTGTTGGTTTATTATTTGTAGCGCTCTTTGTCTGCGAAAAAAGATTTTTATTAATTTAAGATCTAAAACATTAACTAAACTACTAGATTTTGATTTACACCTTTGAGCTTCAATGTCATTATCGGGAGTCTTCGGTGGAGTAATGTTTGTTGAACCTTCGTCTTCAGTAGCTGACGAGGATCTTCTTATACTTCTGTCAGTTCCATCTTCCATACCTGAATCATGTCTTCTCTTCAAACTTAATGGCAGTTGCGTAAATGGTTTACCTAAAATAAATATTATGGTTAAATTAATCAAAGATTTATAAAAACAATAATAATCAAGTCATAAAATTCTTTGGTTGTAAAATTCTAAATTTTATAATAAAGTTTATTTTGGTGTGAAGTTATTTACATATTTTGATGAACTCACCTTGTAACGCTTCTAATGCTCTTATCTGCCCGCTGATAGCATCAGCAACTTCATTTGAAGACAAGCCATATATTCCAAGCAACTCTTTCATAGTGTTCATAGCATAGTCTCTCAAAATTCTGTTTGTAACATTAGATACATCACCATTTTGTTGAGGTTCAGTAGTGTCCATAGGTTCTTGATTCTCTTCTAATCTCTCATTAGCATTTATATCCTGACCTTTATCCTCATCAGAGTCCGAATCCCTTCTTCTAGGAGGTGAGTTCGTCTTTATTAGTTGAGATATCGCAAATGGATTTTTGGCACAGAATGTTTTATTTTGTAAATTACTAAAGTTAAGGACGGTCCGGTCTCGCTCGGAGCCCTGATTTATTTGTAAACTATGTATGTACGAATGTTGAAAGGAGTCTACTTTTTTATCTTCCGGTAACCTGTTTTGGTAATTCAATTCTATGTTTTCATTGGAGTCTGTGCTTAATCTTCTACTAAGGTCAACAGCACCACCCTTTAGTAGACTGAAATTTTTCACACCAATTTTTGCATAGTTTCCGTCGTCCTTATCATCATCCCCAAGTGGTTCTGGGGAAGTTCTATCATTGCCATTGATAGGACTACCCCTACCATCACAATTAGCTCCATTAGAATCATCAGAGAAAGTAGTTGCGTTGGGGGCACATCGGGGCTTAAAATTTTTTCTCTTGTTTCTTTTTGGCATGTTGTAATAAGGTGACATGTCGGTACTATGTTCCTCCTGGTGATCGGATGACTCCTGCCACGACGATGACTCATGGTGGAGGTATAAAGGTTCCTCAGGTGTAGGCTGAAGTCTCTCGTGTATAGATTCTTGGTGAGCAGCCATCGCAGTAGTCATTGCAGTGTTTGGACTCTTTCGAGGACCACAACCTGAAACGAGTCCGTCCTACAAAGACAAAAGAAAAATGTACAGACTACAGTTTTATATAAACAATCAAATTTAACTCAATACATTTTAACGTTCAATCATAACAGTGATTCATTTTAGTTCAATTTAAATTGAAACAATGTGTTGAGAAGAAACAATAGTCTTTTGTTGACAATAAGATTAGCTGAATACTGTGGAATGTTTTGAATTTAAATTTTCTCTTCATTGTTTGGGAATAATAAAATTGATTATTTGCAAATTTGGGTACCTGGGGAGAAACTTCATGGATCAATCATCTCCTAATTGGCTTAGTAAATATGTTGTAATCAGTCTTCTAGATCAGCCATTAGCTATGCATCATCTGGAACAAAAAACACGTGAATGTAAGTAAACATGTCGATGAGCTTAACGGTCAAACAAGTTTGCTCCGAAATTGTGTAAAATTATATATTATGATTATAAGGTATACGCTGGATAATGTAGTCTAGTCATTAATTTCATATTATTACTATAAAATTACTTTTATAATGAAATAGAAGCTAAAAATCAACGCTGACACGAAACATATAGAGACAAAAAATTCTTCAAACATTAAATTTCGCGTAAACCAATTTGTTGTTAGAAAAAACGTTTCGTTTTCTGGCTGAATTGACGCAATGCTCTGTAATTTAAAAATAATTATACAAAAAAAAACACGTCAAGTAACACGCATCGATCAACTCTGTATGAAATTAATTATATTCAACATATTAGTTCTATTTTCGAGAAAACGAGATTGCTCGGAGCGAGGCGAGAAAAAAAACCCGTATTCATGTCGAAATTGGTAACGTGGTTTGGGTGTACAATTACTTATTAAAAACTAATACAAAGGCCTGGCCTTCGCTCGCGGGTCGCATTAACTATCGATCTCTCGTTATCGTACTTGTTACTCGAACGTCTCAAAATCGGTGTATTTACCCTACTTTTACATTTCGGACGTTGACTTCCAAATATTTGAGACTCCACGTGTTTTTGATGAGCAGTCACAGCATGTAATTGGATAAATTAGTTTTTACTTGTTCCGTTAACTAAATTTTTATGTTGTTGAATAGTTAATTATTAGTTCCGATATGGAGCAACTTATATTAATATTGATTTAAGTGGATATTACTTGCGGAATAATTACTATCATTTACGATTATTTAATTTAGTGACTTTCTAGATCTATACGGTAGATATTTTAAGTTACTTCTCTGAAATGTCAAGATTTATACAATTCTATGTAATGTCGTAACCTACTCATTGATTATGTAAATTTGATGAAAACCATGTCCAAACAGGCCAAAGTTAAAAAAAAAAAGTTTTTTTTTTCATTTGATTTAAAAAAAAAAACTTTTTGTTATGAAATGATAGTTTACTTTCATTTATTTCATGGTAAAGAATATATCTACACCAACCTAATGCAGATTTCTCTTAAATATTACAATTACAATTAAAAGGATAAATTGAATTCAGTGTCGAAAATTTTTGACACTGAAATCAAGTTCATCAATACGGTACATAGGTTGTAAAATAGTACTTTTAAAATATTCACATATTCGTCAGTCTTTTCTGACATGCAATATACCAGTTGTTGTCCCCATTTTTATGGCCTGTACAATCACAGGCGTACGGGTACATGACCGTCATGGGGTCATGGAAGAGGCCTTCAAGCTACTGCAGTCTCAGTCCCATTTTCAAGACTTGCGGGACACCAGGACACCAGAATCAATAGCCAGGGTAAGGGATACCTTACCCTGGCTATTGATCCTGGTGTACAGGAGTTACAGTAAAAGGGATCAGCTCTATCGCTCTATCGATGATGGCTTTATTTATATTATTACCTACATCAAATAAATTTAAAATTATTATTTTTTATGGCTAAACAAGCAATGTATGTATATGTGACAGTACTATTTGGACCTCTCATACAGTTATAACTCCGGTTCAATTATTATAATAAGTGAATGATCTAATAACATAACACATGTTTAGATTCATGTAACAACAAAAAATATTCGTCAACGTCTGTTTAAATCATTAGCTTTAATGAACACGGTATTTTTGCTAATGTTGTAATATACATAGATATAGAAGACGTGTTTTGGTATGCTACTCACTTTTTTAAATTCAAGCTGAAGTTAAAATATTAATCGATTCGAATCGATTTGTCTTATATAAAACAATTATCAGCCTTTAACTTACGAGTATATAGGTATTTACTATTGAATTATGGAATCGTGTGAAATTGTGGAATGATGTGGAATTATGGTATGGTGTCAACAGATTAGATTTCTGTGTATGTATGTTACAACATTCCTATGATGCAGTTTTAGAGAATCGTTCGAGTGATTTCCCTACAATTTTTGTATGGGCCGTTTACGTATACATGGAACATGTATCGTATTGAGACATTAGTTTTATTGTAAACTCCAAATCATCATTTGAAATGTTCTTTATCTCAAGGAAGTCACAAAATAATACCCAAGGATTCAAGCAAAGCATGTGCTAACACTGCAGTTTTCCTTTTTCACAACTATAAAAGCACAATAAGAGTCCTCGAGTTCTCTACCCGACTAGGAATGTGACATTGTTGACAGTGGTAAATTATCGATGTCACGTGTCGATACTCTCTATGACATTTAGAGACGGGATGTTATCGATATGTCGATCGAAGTTGGAAACTGGCTCAATATGTGTCGTTGTTCAAACAAGATGTATTAGTCAGTAGCTTTCGAAATTCAATGAAACATTCATGTTAATATTGACATTATATCCATATGTACTGCCGACTGTATACATATATAGTTCTTAAGGCTTATTCATCATCTGGCTACCCTTGTCATTATTTTGTAATGCAAATTATATGAGTATAATACAAAATGAGTTCTTAAGACTTAATTATATGTAATATATTTCAGTAAAACCCGTTCGGCGCTTACTACATTTTATATACCAACAATGAAACCAACTCAAAGTCGCAATATGCCTTTTTCTTTCAAAACATCAGAATCCAAGCAAAATGGAAAGATCAAACGTTAAGTCTTTTTCATCGTCATCATCATTTACTTTTAAAATTTTACAATATTAGAATTACGCTGACACAATAAGTAGAAGAATAATATGAATCATCTTATCATTGAATAGTACTTCACTTCTACAAATATCATTGCGCCATCACACCATAATGAACCTCATCGGCCCCAATAAAGGGCCACATTGTCCTAAAGACATCAAAAGTATAACCATTGTCGGCTAACTACCTATTTAAAAGCAGAACCATACCATTTTCGACACAGCCTTGACAGGAACAATATCCAATAATAACAATAAAGCGATCGCAGTTATGCGCGCGCGTACATTATTAATATTGATCGAGATTCAAGATGGCGAACCAAAATGGCGTCGTAGCGGAAACGGATTAAATTGAAATCTAGATTTGGTTATGATCTATTTGTAGTACATTATTGATAGTACAATATACACTGCTAAGGTGGCAAAAGTATACATAAAGATTATTAGGTATCAAGTGCATACAAGTTTGAGCCTCACAATAAAAACCTTTTGCTTAATTCAACAAATAACTTGGAAGAAAATACTCTATAACTAAAATTTGAAATAAATAACACTATATTTTCGTTTCGTTATATAGCGTTGACAATATAGAGGGAGATTTCTGGGGTAGCAGAGGAAATCACTATCTATTCTACTCAATGCGAGTCTACGAGTTTTAAAGACCAAAGTACCTTTAAAAACACAATTTATATAAAAAGAAAGATAAATGTGTCTGTAACAATCCTCATAATTACTTTAATAAAACAATAGGAATTAGAATCGAGAACGTGTTGAAACCAAACTCTTTTATCACAATTGCAAGTAGAACAAAAGTTAAAATTACTTGTTCGATGTCATTACGACAAACTACTATCCTAATCTTATCTTATAATCATAATTAAGATTGCGTAAGTTAATATTTTAAATGTTTGAGGGTAATTAATCGACCTTTTGGCATTGGTCTGTTGAGATTTGGAGACAATGACTATTGCAATCTATAGTTTAGTAATACTAATAACAAATGGAAAGTAGATTGGGTTGTTTTAAGCTTAAATGTGATTGGTCATTGTACTACACGGTTTTAGACAGTACGGCTCTAATTTGATTCTATATCTATAAACGATTATTTATAGGCAAAGTATTAAAGACGAAGCCCAAAATAACTAATTATGCACTATTATATTTAGTTATTTTGAACGTCTCTTTTTACTGTTATTTTACTAAATAAAAATACTGATTTTAAATACGAAATTTAGGATGGATATTTGTTTACAATAACGTAAAAACGTCTGAACGGGTCCAGTTAAAATTTGGTATATAGATCAATTATATTGTGGGATAGTATTATAAGATTTATATTACGAAAAAAAAATAATTGACAAAATAGAAAATACGAACGGAAGAAAATGCCGAAAGCAAGTAGTTAAACAAAGTCGAAAGCTAAGATAAAAAAATATTGGTTACTTGCCTTTAGATTGCTAATTACACAGTTATTTAACCCCCTCCTCCCTACCTCCTTCAGAAAGGGGGCAAGGAGTCAACACGCCACTGCATCATCAAGGTCATCCTATCATTTCAGCACTTATCAAACAGATGTTATCCGAAATAACAAGTTACTTGCTAGTTCTTAATACAAAATGGCGTATCTTAAATCTAAATTTTGTTGGCGTGCGACTTTTAATCAATAGATTCAATATTTATATGAAATCTACCCACGATTTTATATAAAACAGTCAATTACAAAGACGTAACAAAAACTTGGCCCAAGGCAAAATTATAATAAATTTATGATAGAAAACTGAACGATTTTGTCTGTGCTTATATTTAAAATGTTTATACCAAGAATGTTCTTTTTCTTTTTGTTTATCATAGACAAGTTGCTTGAATTATTTTCAATT